ATGCTTTGGCACAAGGTAACTGCAAGCATTCATGGGATATTGAACAATGGATGGGATGCAAAGATGGCCCCTTTTCCGACCTCATTTTTTGCTTGGAAATTAGTACATGAGGTATATCCAACTTTTATTAGCTTCACTAGATTTGATGTGGGATGGGGACCCAAGTACTGTTTTGTGAAGATCTTTGGTTGGCCGAAACTCCCCTTAAGTTTGCTTTTCCTAGAATTTAATCCTTGTATAACTATAAACTACAACCTGTCTTCAGATTTGTTACCTTTCCTCCTTCTGGGGTAAATTGGGAATTTGGTTATAGAAGGGGATTGAGGGATAGTGAGAGTGAAGCCCTCATTCAACTTTTGTATAAACTTCGTTTAGATTTTTTGGACTAGTCAGTGGAGGACACTACAGTTTAGTCTTGTACTCCCAATGGTGTTTTTACTTGTGCCTCTTGCAATGCCCTTATGCTGTCTAATACTTTGGGGGAGAATTTCCCGGTAAAAGATATTTGGAACAAGCCTATCCCACCCAACATTTCATACATCCTTCTATCCTTTAGAGGTTCTCCATCAGTAGTAGTCAACTTGTGGTTCTCTGATAGGCCCCCAATTAACTTTACATATGCCAAGAAGAGGAAAGGTCAGCTTTCGGCCAAGGGGGGAAATAATTGAACATGGGGGCAATTATAGCTGGAAGAAATAAGGAGAGTCTTGAGGCATTTATAGCTATGTCAGTTAGGAATAAGAAGAGTGGGCATTTATAACTTGGCTGGTTGGGCATTTATAGAGGGAATTAGTTATGCTGTGCGAAGAGTATAAGAGGGGGCTTTGGGGGATGGGGGAAGGCATGCTTTTTGTTGAGTGAAGAATACTGTGAGTGATTGGGAGAGCCGGCGGTCTCTCGAAGAACCGACCAACTGTTAATGTTCTTCTTTTCTTTTGAATGAATACCAGTTTCTTTTGTTGATGTTCGAGTTGTGTGAATTCTGCTGTGAGTTTGAGAATCGTGTGTAAAGTTTCTGGGACATAACAGTGGTATCAGAGCCCGTCTTTCCTCGGCCATGGGGACAACTAAGGAAGTAGCATCGCAGGTGGAGGGTTTCGAAGAACGCTTGACTTCTCTGCATTCTGAATTTCGTGTGGAGATGGATGGCTTACGCAATGAGATTTAGCGACTCGATCCAGAAAAGGTAGAAGCTAGACTATCGAAGATCTCATCTTTGGAAGGAGGCGTTCAAGATCTGGTAAGACGTTTTGATCTGTTGCTTCAGCAACAGACCTATTTAGCTCCTTTGTCTACGATTGACATTGCTCCTCCTTTAGTCGCATCGAGTCGTGCGGCTGACAAAGGGAAGAGTGCAGCTTTTCCGACGTCTTCTTCGATGTCAGTGTTGGAACATGCTTCTGATTCACTTCCTCGGAAGTTGGAGTTACCTATTTTTTATGGGGAAAATCCAGACGGCTGGCTTTTTCGCGCGGAGCGCTATTTTGAGATTAATGGCTTGCTTTCGGCAGAGCGTTTGTGTGCGGCCGTGGTCTGTTTAGAGGGTGATGCATTGGCGTGGTATTACTAGGAAGATGGTTGGCGACCTTTTCGTAGTTGGGCAGAATTCAAGGAGCTCCTCCTTGAACGTTTTCGATCAACTAAGGAGGGAAATTTACAGGAGCAGTTTTTATCGTTACATGAATCCACTACTATTAAGGAATATCGTTGCCAATTCGAGGTGCTCTCCGCCCCTTTACGTGACCTGCCGGAATCAGTCCTTGAAGCAGCCTTTGTTAATGGGTTGTACCCAGATATCCAAGCCAAACTCTGACAGATGGAACCCGTTGGGTTGATCAGGAAATGGTTGTGGCCCAGAAAATTGAGAAGAATCAGGCCTTATGGGCTTATCAATCAGGTCTATTTCCTCGTGGGCCCACAACATCCCCCTCTGGAACTCACTTTAATTCACGGGTTTCACAAGTGACTACTTCTGATGTCACCCGACCTGCACGTGCCGCGGTTCCTCCTTCATCGGTCCCTATTAGTAAGGCCCCACCACCTGCTTTCAAAAAAATGACCGATAAAGAGATGCAGCAGAAACGTGCGAAGGGTCTATGCTTCCGTTGCGACGAGAAATACAGTCCGGGACATCGTTGTGCTCAGAAATCACTTCAGGTTTTATGGGTTCAAGATGATGTGGAGGAAATTACTTCTGATGCATCTAATTTGGACAACACTTTCGGGGACACTGAAATTTCTCCAGCTCCAGATTCAGCCGTGCTTTGTGTTTCATCTCTTGTAGGCTTGTGTGCGGCTAAATCTCTTAAGGTACGTGGACGCATTTTGTCACGTGAGGTGGTCATATTGGTAGACTCGGGTGCATCCCACAATTTTATCTCCGAAGCTTTAGTGGAAGAATTGAAATTACCCCGCACTCCTACACACAAGTTTGGAGTTCAGATGGGGAATGGCGATGAGGTGAGAACTTTTGGAGTCTGCCATCAGGTTTGCCTCAACTTACCCGAATTGGATGTCATTGCTGATTTCTTTCCTTTAAAGTTGGGCTCTACAGATGTCATTCTTGGTTTTCCTTGGTTAGCATCCCTCGGGGACTCAGTGATGAATTGGGGTAACATGTCTATGAAGCGGAGATCACCTTCGTTATCATGGTAAATTAGTTCTGCCGGCTTCTTCCCCATTTATCCCCCTCTTACTTAAAGAGTTTCATTATGGCGTTGTGGGAGGTCACGCAGGTATCCGCCGGACATATTGGCGAATAGCAGCTGAATTTTACTGGCGGGGGATAAAGCATTCTGTCTAGGAGTTTGTGCAGGCCTGTGATGTGTGTCAATGTAGTAAACATGAAGCCATGTCTCCTGCTGGCCTTTTACAACCTTTACCCGTTCCTAAACAGATCTAGGAGGATATTGCTATGGACTTTATTGAGGCTCTTTCTAAGTCAAAGGGATTTGATACAATTATGGTGGTGGTCGATCGTCTCTCCAAGTATGCCCATTTTATTCCTCTCAATCATCCTTTCTCAGCTCTCACAGTTGCTCAAGCCTTCTTACACAACATAGTCCGTTTACATGGCATCCCCCGATCAATTGTGTCTGATCGTGATAAAGTCTTTATGAGTTTCTTTTGGCGCGAGCTTTTTACCTTGCAAGGTTCAGAATTGCGTCGTAGTTCAGCTTACCATCCTTAGATGGATGGATAGTCGGAGGTGGTTAATCGCTGTTTAGAGACTTATTTGCGATGCTTTGTGGCTGATTCCCCCTCCCGCTAGTCTTCTTGGTTATCATGGGCAGAATACAGCTATAATACCTCTTTTCACACTGCCGCTGGCATGACACCTTTCAAGGTGGTTTATGGGCGTGATCCTCCATTAATCCGCTATGAGCTTGGCTCTACGGCTAATGCTGATGTTGAAACTGTTCTCCTTCAGCGAGACGCTATACTTAGGGAGCTGCATGCTCATCTACACCGTGCACAACAAAATGTGAAAGACTCGACTGATGCGAACCGACATGATGTGAATTTTGATGTTGGGGATTTGGTGTATGTGCGAGTGCGACCTTATCGCCAGCAGTCTCTAGCTCACCGAGTCAATGAAAAGCTTGCTCCTCGTTTTTATGGACCATTTGCTATGGTGGAAAGAATTGGCGTTGTCGCTTATAAACCTCAACTTCCTCCTGATGCAAGGATTCACCCAGTTTTTCATGTCTCGCAACTCAAGAAGGCGATTGGCAATCATATCTCTTATCCCGTGATTCCATCCACTATGCCTGGAGTTACTGGTTCGGAAGTGCTTATCCATTGGCAGGACCTGCCTGATTTTGAAGACTCGTGGAAGCCTTTTGACTTACTTCGGGACCAATTTCCTCATTTTAACCTTGAGGACAAGGTTAGACTTTGGGCGGCGGGTAATGATAGGCCCCCAATTAACTTTACGTATGCCAGGAAGAGGAAAGGTCAGCTTTCGGCCAAGGGGGGAAATAATTGAACATGGGGGCAATTATAGCTGGAGGGAATAAGGAGAGTCTTGAGGCATTTATAGCTATGTCAGTTAGGAATAAGAAGAGTGTGGACATTTATAACTTGGCCGGCTGGGCATTTATAGAGGGAATCAGTTATGCTGTGAGAAGAGTATAAGAGGGGGCTTTGGGGGATGGGGGAAGGCATGCTTTTTGTTGAGTGAAGAATACTGTGAGTGATTGGGAGAGCTGGCGGTCTCTCGAAGAACCGACAAACTGTTAATGTTCTTCTTTTCTTCTGAACGAATACCAGTTTCTTTTGTTGATGTTCGAGTTGTGTGAATTCTGCTGTGAGTCTGAGAATCGTGTGTGTTTCTGGTACATAACATTCTCATAAATTGGTCCATTTGCTGGTTTAACTCCCATTTGCCTATTCACTTCAAGTAGCAAGTACATATTTTCCTTGTAAGTTGTAATATAACAATGCCATGTTTAGACCTGGTAACTTTAGTTTCTACAATGTATCGAGAAGTTCACCTAACTCCTTTATTTCAGCTGGATAGGCCATATATTCAATCCACTAATCCATACCATCCCTAAACACCATCATTTATTTGTGTTTTTTATAAATTAGCTGTTGAAGGTTCCACTGTAGTAAAATTTAACTTCTCAAAAAAAAGAAGGCTTTATTCAAACAATGTGGAAAATGGGTTTGGGCTCAATTTTTACCTATTTATAGTGGATAATAAGAGTTATGTGGGGCCATCTTAGGCCACAAACTAATTTTCCAAGTGGAGGCTTCCATGGTCATTCAGCTGTCCACTAAACAATCCAACTAGCAGACCTGCTCTGATATTTATTATGGCATCACGTCATGTATTATATTACTGTCTTCACTTAAAATTTAGGCTTCTAATTTTACAGAATTGGTGGAATGAATTTCAGAACCTTTGTGTGGTCCTCCTATATTTATTCTCAAAATATTTATTTCCAAAGTTTCTGGTTGCTGTTTTCCTCTAACTATTGTTACTTGTAAAATAGGTTAGAATAAGGAAAAGGCTCTCAAGAAGTATTCTATTTGAACGAGCCAAAGTATTGAATGATCATCAACCTGATAATGTATTTTGTGGATTTAAACCAATTGCATCTACGTCTGATTTGTGAGTATTTTTTTCACCTAATTATATTGCATTAATCTACAGTTAAACCTCTGTTTTCTTCAAAAATGTTCTGGGATGATAAGTACTAATGATTCTATATGCATGTGTTGGCACAAAAAGCAATGATATACTTGTTCCTTCCACCTCCCTAGAGATGTACAGTGGCAATCTTTTTAATGATGGCTTTTATTTTCTTTTCATTTTATGTCATTGTTTGGGCAAAACAATAACAGACCAAATGATGGAACATTAGTATCAGCCAACCCTCCTTGTAATATTAGTAATGCAAGACTGGCATAAAACTAAGTTGACTTCTGTATGTGGAAGTTAGGACAAGATTCAGATTTATGTTGCTGAAATTGTGTCCATAGTACATTTCAGAAGAAAGGTTGACAGCAGTTATTCTGTTGTGATCTAGTTTATTTCTCATCATTTGTTTCCTTTTCATTTAAGAGTGCTGGTTGTATAGTGTGTCAAGTGAAGAAGTCAGGCAGCATTTTGATGTGATAGTAATGATAAAAGACTGAACATAATGGCCTCTCGTGATTACTTGAAAAATAAGAAGCCTGTAGTTGGCTCAATCAGGTATAGTGAATGCCCAAAATATGACATGGATGTGGAATGGTATGGAGCCTAAAATAAGTGTTAAATCTCATGTTTCTGGAAACAACAATGGAGATATGTGATCATGTTCAAAAGCTGCAATCTGGTCAAGATAAGATTCACAGGGTTAAACTCTAGTTGATGTTTGAGTACAGCAGCAGCAGAGGTAACATCTTGATGTGAAATGATTTCTTTTTGCATAGAGTTCAGAACATGAATCTGTTTATGCTCAAATCCTGGGGAGTTTATCTCCCCTCTCGTCCCAAGGTTTTTGCTCATTTGTGGAGGGTTACTATGGGATCTATTGGAGGCAGTTACATTATGGACTTAGTTCATGTTTGGGAGTGCTTATGTTAAAAATAAGTGCTTATTTGAATAAGCACTTATTTGCATTTGGGACCCATCTTTTTCAAGTGCTTATTTTAAAAAGCAGGCACTTATTTAATATTGGGCATTTGGTGGTCTTTTTCTCCAATAAGTACTTAAGCAAGCACTTTTTCAAGTGCTTTTATGTCTTCGTTTTTATGTCCCTCTCCTTTCTTCAACTGGGGATATTGGTAGTTGGCAGGAGTCAGTATAAGAGTGCTGGAGCCGTGGAGAACTGGAGCAAGAAATGAAAGAGAAGGTTTCTGCATGCCTGAAGTCTCCTGCTCTTCCAATCTTTTCCCGCGAAAATTCCGAATGAAATGGAAAATTAGAGCTGCAGAGAATCCCCATGGCTGAAATTTCACATCGCATACTTGGCTTACTAAAAAAAATCTTAAAGAAATGCAAAATCTATTAAACCCAAAATAGACCAGAAGCAGGGACAAATAAAGATTGCCTAAACAAAAAGGGATTAACCATATAAATAATGAAGGAGAGAAGAAAACCTCAAGGGCTGCTTCTCGCAGTCTGGAATTTTACCTGTGAAGTGAAGAGCAGCTGGTCTATTCAGCAACGATGTTTCCGAATCTGATCGCCTCTAACTATTTTGGTTAGACAAAGTGACAGAATAAGAGACAACGGAAATCCACTGGAAGCTGAAGCCAAAGACCACTGATTTTGTTGAAATCGCACCCGTTGAAATCACAACTGAACCAGTCTCACATAGACCACTAATTCTGCCAGCACGGAAGCCTCAATGGAAAGTTCGTTTACAAGAGAATTCAAAGAATACTGATCTGGCTAGGATCATTTGGTGAAGTGAGGTTTTATTGTCAGGTTCATTTGATCTAAAAGCCTCTCAGCCAGTTTTGGGATTGTATATTCAATCCAGCTATTTTCCTTTTTTTTATATTTTGTGGAGTGGGGTGGGGTGAAATTCGGATTTCGTCCTGGCCATCTCGAGGCTATCAAAGACGAAAACATGCAAAGGAGCGTCAAGCTGGATGCCACCATTCTGGTCGCTGGATGCCACCATTCTGGTGATTCTCAAGCAGCATGTCACCGTTCTGGTCTGAGAAGTCACTGGGACAATTCTGACAGAAAAAAAAATTGAATTAAGTGCTCATTGTATAAGCACTTAAAAAAGCCTGGAAATTTGGGCATAAAAAATAAGTGTGTGCTTATTTTTAAAATAAGCACTTATTTTGGGCTTATTTCCCAAACACCAATAAGTGCTTAATGGTGTGGTCCTGGCCCAAATAAGCTCTTATTTTTAAGCACTCCCAAACATAGCCTTAGAGGAAGAGGCAGAAACAGATTGGGTTTACCCATTGGTCATGGAGTTGTAGGTGAAGAGTCAAGGGAAGTGGTGGAAGAGGTGGACTTGGACCTCAAAAGTGCACATATTGTGAATTTGACAGCTGTGATCTGTTAAAAGTTCATAGAGTACTTATAATGGCCAAAGATAAATTCTGGAACTTGAAAAATGAGAAGCCTATAGTTGGCTCGACTAGGTATTGTGAATGGGAGCAAGATAATGGCTGTGGATTGGTATGGATCCTAGAATAAGTGTTATCTCATGTTTCTGGACACAGGAATGCAGATATGTGATCATGTTCAAAGGCTGTAATCTGGTGAAGATAACATTAAGAGGGTTCAACTCTTCCAGGAGTATTTTACATTACTGCAGGGTAATTGGAGCATTGAGGAGTACGATATTAGTTTGAGAAACCTTCGTAATGAGCTTAATATATACCAATCATTGACACATGATGTTAAGAGTACAGCAGCAGCAGAGGTAACATCGTAATGTTGAATGATTTCCTTTTGCATAGAGATTAGATGAACCTGTTCACACTAAAATCGTGGGGAGTTCATCCAGAGTTTTTTTTTTCATTTGTGTAGTCTTGCTATAGTATCTATGGAGACGGTTACTACCTCTGATAGATCTACATTAGCTGTAGGAGGAGGAGGATGTGGAAGTTGAGTTGCTGGTTGTGGACTTTGAGGAAGAGGCAGAAATGGGGGTATACCCATGGTCATGGAGGTGGTGTAGGTGATAGAGTTAAGGGGAGGTTTGGAAGAGGTGGACCTGGACCTCCAAAGCACATATTGCAAGCTTGACAGCTGTAATCCGTTATAACCTACTAGAGAAACAGTGTTCCAAGTGAAAAGAAGAGAGGTGACTGCTAGTAGAGAAGAAGAGGAACTTCCAAGCTCCTGTTCAGTTGAGACTTGGAATCAATAGTGTTGAGAGAATGAGTGGAAACTTTACCCCTATCTGATGGCAAAGAATAAGTGTAAAATAGGGAGGCAATACTAGTATGTGATCTCATGCATCTGAATCTATAATCCAAGAAATGCACCTAAATCTATAAGCAGAAGTCTGAGTAGTTGATGTAGTAGATGATGTGGCTATGGATGCCAAAGCAGGACGAAAGCTTGCAATACCATTCTCAATCTCTGAAATATATCTGCTACAAGGTTCAAAATATCGATACAGCCCAATACGTCAGTAGGGGCATATCAGACTGTATCAGGGCTCGCTCCCCTATTTTTTTAGTTTTTTTAAACCTGGTTCAGAAGGGTCGGTTTAAGGCCTGTTTACTCCGAAACACCCCCTGTAGGAGCATACCGGGAAGCCCCTGATATGATACGTATCGGCTGATACGGCCCAATGCATATCTAAATTTTGAACCTTGATCTGCTATACTTATCAATCTCAGCTTTAGCAGCAGCAAAAGACTTCATCACTAGATGTGGAAAAATAGGCAGAGAGGACTAGTAGCTACTCGTTCTATAGTAGTAAAACCCATAGCACTTCCCTTCTACCACCTGCCTTCTTGAACCTCTCTGGGACCAAATGAGGGTGCAACTTCCAATTGTTATCTTGTTATATTTAGTGCAGACAAGGCTAACTAGACATTGAACAGCATACTGTCTGCATATGTGTTCAAGTTTCACGTCCACACATCATAGAAATCTTCCCCAAGATTTCCACTGACCATAGGTGAAATGAAAGACCAAAAAGTTTCACTTCAACACTCTCACTGGAATGAAATAACTTCCATTTACATGCTGGACACCACCTGGTTATTAACAGTAGACCTGCTGTTGACTCCACAGCCCTTGCTGTGATGTCCAATATGGGCTTCTTCTGATCAAAGGGTGTTTTTTTTTTCTTTTGATAATTGTTTTGATCAAAGGGTGTTATCACCAAAGTTCCTTTTTGGGTGGACTTCCTAATAATTTTGCAACCTTGTCCCATTCATTTACCTCTTTCTTTGCTCTGGTGAGAATTCTCTGTTTCCACCTAACCTTCACACCATTTAGCACTATTTTCAGTCTTACTGTGTCATGGACATGTCTGTGTCAACCCCCTTCTCTTCTTTATCATTCTCTCTGAAGCTTCTTCATTCTTGGCTTACTTCTTGTTCTTGCATGTCCATCTCCTTTTGTATGTAACCCTGGAAGACTGTTGAAACAGAACACCCTGTAGCTCTCCTTCCTTTAAGGAAGTAAACCAATTGCTTCTTCCCTTCACTGAAGTATTAATAAATTCCAGTGAAAGACTCTCTTTCATTAATTCTCTGTGCAACATAGTACCTTTTCCCTTTCATTGTAGTATTATTCCATTCTAGATTCCTCTTCGTATGGATTATTCCCTCTAGAAATCCTTTAAACCAAGGAACTGTGTCTCCCACTAACTGCACAGATGCTTTCTTCAGTTCCCTAATCTTCAGAGTTGGGACTCCTGTCATTGTGATTTCCTCAAAAGTAAAGTTCTTGGCCTCTACATTGCGAGTCCTCCATCTGGTTGCCATAAGGAATCTTTCCTCATTCATCCATATTATAGACAAATTGTGATATGAAATTCTGCAGATTCTTGGTCCCAAGGCCCTGGTACAATGATAGAACCTTCCAGTTGGAAATTCCACTTAGTTCATAACTTTGATATCTATCAACTATTTACAGCTAAATTAGGGCATAAACCCCTTTTCTCATGCCTTAGAGCTTGTTGTGCATTTTGTGTTTATTGCATTTTTATACCTCCTGTCAGTCAAATACCTCTGTTCTGATCCTTGGGTAAATGGAAATGCACAATATGTTTACATAACTGAAATTTCTCATAGTTTTCTCACTGTTTATTGTTATTCCCTTCCATGTATTTTGAATACTTGTTATTATGTTTAGCTACAGTCATATTATGCTTTAAGGCTCTCCAGTGATATTTTTTAATGTATTATTTACTCTTTTGAAATATGTGATGGTTTCTATAGGTTAAAAGCTGCTAGAGCTAAGAAATCACTCCAAAAAAAGGCAGCTCGGAAAGAGGAAAAGAAAGCTGCAATTCTGGCTGCTGGGCTGGATTGGCAGAGTGATGATTCAGATGATGAATTCCCAGTAATCCAATAATTCACAAAACCATTTCTGTTTCACTTTTTAAAAAGTTATTTATTGATGCAATGCATGTTTTTGTGATTTCCTTGATTTCTTTAGCAGCAAGCATTAAGAGAGCCACCGTTGCCGAAACTCTTGAGGGATGAGGAGCATTATCGGCTTATTGTAGATGTCAGTATTATTGTTGTTTTTTTATTCTCGTTTTGGATTTTTTGTATAATCTTTTAACATTTGGCATTTTTTTATTTTGTATAATCTTTGACTAGTTTGAACTTGTAATTATTCAACTGACTTTGTGTCTTACCTTAGTGTTTCAGCTTTTCCATTAGTCCGACTAATTTCTGTGCTTCATTGTATGTTTTTGATAGCTTTGTAAGGCATTAGCAACCTTGCGAAGATATTGGGAGGCACTAGAGATCATCAACCACACCTTGAAATTAGCATACAACATGCTATCCATTGAGAAGAAGGAGGAGCTTCGTTCACTTGGGGCTCGTAAGTTTTGAACTTAGACATAAATAGTTTTGTTCTATTTACCTATTAGGATATGGAATGGTGTTATTACTTGTTATAGTGGTAGAAGCTTGGGATGATAATCATGAGATTGAGGATTGAATTCTGAGAGTGGCCACTTGTGCAAAACAGTGTCAGTTAGGTCTGTATTCCAGTCTACCCCTCCTCTGACCCCAGATAGCCAGGACCAACATTGGGTAATGGCCTTTTACATTTTTATGGATATGGAAATTACTTTTTATTGAGTGTCAATTTGAAATATATTTTTGTTTTATCTAGGAAATCTGGTCAACCCCAAATAGTTGGGACTTGGGATTAAGGCTGAGTTGAATTGAGTTTCATTTGGAAAATTGTCTTCTAAAAGGAATTTGAAAACATTCTCTATTTGTACTCTGTTTATTAGAGACACATGATGGGATGTCTCCAGATATGTTAAATAAGTATTATTTCTGCTATTCTGCAGAAGTAGCATACAACACCAGGAATCCAACACATGGATATGATTGTGCACGATACATTGTACAAGAGCATCCTTACAGTTTGGGTGCCTGGAACTGCTATTACAAAGTAATTTCAAGGTATTTGAAACTGATGTTATGAACATAGCATAAATGATATTCCCTTTATAATGTGATAATTTTATCTACTTTTGTAATTTATCATCTTCATGGTATTTGTTACTGATTACTAGCAAAAAAAGTAGACTGCAACAGGCATGATGTTCCTCCTGCTTAAATAATATCACATATTATGTTAAAAGAACTGTAAAATCCCTATATAGTTGGGATAAGACATGGAGGATGATGATTTGTTTGTATTCTGATTCATGAAGAAGAAGAAGAGAGATTGAGAATAGGGTGGCAGCTTCTAACCAGCCCTTCAAAGTTCAAACTGATATTTATATTAAGGCAACAATAAGACAAGATTACAACTTTACCCTCCCCCCAATTCCCAATTCCTTTAGGAGTATCCTGATCCAAAGAAGTTCGGCAACTCCATGTGCCATTGCCTGGTATTCAGCTTCAACACTTGATCGAGCCACCACAGTTTGTTTCGGGTTACATGATTTCCACCCATAAATGTGCAATATCCAGTTGTAAACCTCCAGTCTCCAGGAGATCCAACCCAATCAGCATCAGTATAAACTTCTACATTTCGTTTATCATGCTTCTTAAATAACAACCCTTTTCTTGGACATGTCTTCAAGTACCTTAGTATTCTTTCTACTACCTTCATGTGTATAACTTACGGAGCATGCATAAATTGGCTAACAATATGGACAACATAAGCAATATCAAGTCTAGTCAAAGATAGGTAGAGAAGTTTACCCAAAAATCGTCGATATCTTTCCTTGTCTAGGTAAAGGTCCTCATCCTTTTCCTATAATCCATGGTTTTGTTCTATAGGGGTCTCAATTGGCCTACTACCTAATTTCCCTCTCTCCTTCAAGAGGTCCAAGGCATACTTCCTTTGACAAATATAAATTCTTTCTCTAGACCTAGCCACCTCTATTCCTAGGAACCTTAGAGGTCACAAGTCCGTTCTTAGTAAAAATTGCAAAACTCCAATCTGATTTGTAACATGTGAAAGAAAAGTAAAGGAAAATAGAATTCTATAGAGAAGAGAAAAGGAGAGAAATAGAAAAGAATGAAAGAAACCCAAAAAACTATTCTAGCCATCCCTTTCATTAACTTATAAACTCATCCAAAAAAAGGCTACAATGACAAGTATACCCTTAGTAAGTCGGCTACTACTAAAAGCATATAAAAGACTCTTGCAGGTATCTGCCAGGGATAAGAGGATCCGAACTGAACTCATCTTGGCGATCGGTGCAAAGGTCTCCAAGTAGTCTATCCCGAAATTCTAAGTGTACCCTTTTGCAACCAGCCTTGCCTTGTACCTTTCTATACTTCCACCAACCCTGTACTTCATTGTGTAAGCCCATCTACATCCAACTGCCCCTTTGCCACTAGGTAAATCCACCAAATTTTTAAACAATGCTTTCATTTCCTCCATCATTGTTGTCTTCCACTCAAGTTTGGAGAGAGCCTCACTAACACTCTTGGGTATAAACAAAGTCAAGGGAGGAAAGGAAGGCCCGGTAGGAGGGAGATAGCCTATTGTAGGAAATGTGATGTGAGATGCAATGGGTTGTACACTTTCTCTTCCCCTTTTAGAGTGCAATAGGAAGGTCTAGGTCATCTACAATGGTGTTAGGGATAGGGGTAATAGTATCAATAGTAACTGAACCATCAGAGGGAGCAAGAGGCATACCTGGGTTTATGTAAATCGACCTGGAATCTCTAATGAGCTGATAGGGAGTAGTGTGGGTTCCTCTGTTGTGGAATAAACCTCCTTGTGTAAAAAAAAAATGAGAGGAATGACGTAATGGAGCTAGCAAAGTGGATGGTGGAGCAAGTGGGTCAGACACTGGAGTGAACGATAGGGCTGGAACTGGAAGTGGTGTAGATTGTTACCGTGATCCTAGAGTCTGGTTCAATAGGTCTATGTACTCTTCTGGACTTGGTACTGGGACTACATATTCACAGGATGGCGTAGAGAGAGATGTAGGTTGAATTGAAGACAATTTTCAACTTCAATTTTTAGAGGTTGAAGAGGCTAGAGGAGTTAGGGGCAAAACAAAAAGGATGTAGGTTGAATTAGTAAGAAATTATTTAAGGGGGGTTCATAATTTAACAATGGATTTGGCACTTAACTGAACAGAATGGTAATACAGGATTCATGTTGCTGACCATATAATTGGGACAAGGCTTAGATGATGATGAAATACTTGGCAGTGGCATGTTGCCATCTTTATCTTGTAACTTTTCTCAAAATGCTTCTTAAATTATTAAATAATTTCAATGAGCTATTATGATTGTGCAAAATAATGATTTTAACTTCTAAGTATCTTACTGTTTTTGCAGGATGGAGAATAGGTTTTCAAGGCATGCAAAATTTTTACGTAGAATGCGATCAAAGCACAAAGATTGTGTGCCTCCCATGCTCATCTCTGGACATCAGCTTACCATGGTTAGCCAGCATCAAGCAGCTGCAAGAGAATACCTAGAAGCTTACAAACTGCAGCCAGATAGTCCCTTGATCAACCTCTGTGTGGGTATGAGATGATGTGTCCATTCTTCTTTTTTGAATGGATTGGTGCTTCTATTCCATGTTATTTTGAATAATGGATCTTATTCTTTTCTTTTTCTTTATTTCAGGAACTGCTTTAATCAACTTAGCCCTTGGGTTACGACTTCAGAACAAGCATCAATGTCTGGTACAAGGTTTTGCATTTCTTCATAACAATCTGCGACTTTGTGAAAACAGCCAGGTTTGATTTCTATTTGAATTCTTGAAGACAATACATAAAATGCATGCTTCCATTGGTTCCATCTTAGTTTAATGACAGGTAGAGATTTGATACTTAGCTACCATCTAGCAGTTTATACAGAAGTTTTACATGTCAAGATTGATGTTGATAATTTTTATGCTTGTTTCCTTCATTCTAATTGGTAGAAAACTTTTCTTTATGAAGTATATACCTGGGTACACTTGTATGTTTTTAACGTTTGAGCTTTCAAATGATCTGCAATCTATTCATCCTAGAGAAGAGTGATTGGCTTATGGATTTATAATGGTTCCATTTATTATTTTCTTTCTGTTACCCAAATTGTCAAGTTAGATTTTCCTGTTAAAGTTTCCTATAGTACCTGATAAGTAATCATTCTATATTCATTCAAGTCTAAGTATCTTTTAATTTTCTTTACATATTGAGTTTCATGAAGTTCAATGGGTCTTCACCATGGCTCAGCAACTAGTTATTTATTTGAACTAATGATAGATGAATTGACTACACATATTCAAGTGGAAGCCCCATGGTGCTTGTTATTTGCTGATGGCATTGAATTAATTGATGAAATTAATGAAGGATTTTTTTTTATGAATGTGAAATTATTGAAGTATTAAATGCAAAATTAAGTTTATGGACAAATTCCTTACAAATAAGAGCTTTTAAAATAAGTAGGACCAAAACAGAATATATGCTTTGTAGATTTAATAACAATAACAATAATAATAAGGGTTATTCTCGAAAAATTCTCTTCACTTTTCTCCAACTCTTCTTAAACATACTCTGACTTTTTGATACCTCCAAAGACCCCCCCCCCCTGTCAGAGAAAAGCAGTGGACTTAGACCATTAATTTTTTTAGTGACCAAACTAACCCTGACCACTCCAGATGCAGTATCTTCTTCTGACCAACAGAGTTTTCCTTTTGTAGCCTGATGCTTCAATGTTACAATCTCGGTCTAAAACATTAGATACCAAATCTATCTCACAGCTCTTATGCCTGAACATTGTTAATCTTCGAAGGGGATCCAACATCTTCAGTACTGCCATTAGTTTCCAAGGATCCCCTTTTCTCAAGTTCAAATGCCAAACTAACTATTAATTCTTCCTTACCTTGAAGATTTTGCTTTGTGATTTTTAGTTTATCCATCAACACCTCAATCTTTCTATCTGTGACCAAAATGTTTGCTTTCAATTCACTAATCTGCTTTCACGGCTCCAATGCTGGCTTTTCTCTGATTTGTGCCCAGTCTCCTGCATTTCAACATTTGTATCTGCTAATTGAAGTTCAACCGGTAAATTGTGAGTTAATTCTGATAAATCATTCCTCCCAACTTGAAGCTTCAATCTTGCAATTCTTTTTCCATTGAAAAATGAAGCTTTCCATTTGCAACAATCAGCTCTTTCTCGCATTGTGTTAATTCTACCATGCAGCTCTTCATACCTCTCATTTTTGTGAACCTTGATGAGCCTTTGTACTCATTTCCTTTGCCAATCAATCTAAGCTTCTCATTTGCATGCCAGAGCTCAAGTTCAAATCTGAAAAATTCTTCTCTTCCAAAATCCAGATGATCTGTGTGATCTTCTGGCCTTGAGTGAGGTACATCAATTGATTATTCTATGTGGGCCCCAATAGAACTATGGCCTTCCAAATTTACATGGTGGTATGATAAACATGTATGCAACGTTCGGTGCATTCTCAATGCTTTTTCAAAGTTTAAACTAAAAAAAATAAAAACAAAGAAAACAGCAAAAATAAAAAGTTACACTTGAGATAATCAGAACAAGCTTATTGAACAAGTAAACAATCTTTGCCAAAGGAAAAGGCAAATCAATTGTCAAAATGAAACCGAGAAAAAAAGGAAATATTTTTAAGATCCTACTTTACATGTAGATAAAACCTAAAAGTGGTCTGAGCTTAAATTCATCAAAAAAAAAGTGGTCTGAGTTTAACAGATCATGGACATTGACAGTCACTACTACATTTTTAGAGCTGCAAAACACAGACAAAGAGAAACATGGTAAGTTGGGGCTGAGAAAATATTGGATTATAATGTAAAATAGCGTACAGAAGAAACATTTCTTCCTCTCACCTTTTAGAGGAAGCCGTGAATGGCCATCATTCCGGCCAAAGGGAATTCTAGTGGCAGTCTTTCAAAGGTGATGATGTGTGTGCTTCTTACTTTTCAGGAGAGAAAGGATTTGTGTTCGGTCAAGCAAATGAAGAGAGTATTTTTGGGTATTTTCTTTGAAATGGCAAATGTAACTGGAGTGGTAGCATAGTAATTTTGCAAAAACTGTTTATCTAGTAATGGCATATCTCTGACAAGGGGGGTGTCTGGAGGTTTTGAAAAGTCGGTTTGTTTAAGAGAATTGGAGAAAATGAAGGGGAGTTTTGGATAACAATAACAATAATAAAAGTAAATTTTGTTATCAGAAAAAAAAAAATTCCTATCAATGGAGTGATTGAGGAGGATGTTGCTCAAAGAATCAGACCAGGATGGGAAAAATGGAGGGGTGCATCCGAAGATTTATATGAAAGTTAAATACCACCAAGGTTAAAAGGCAAATTCTAAAAAACTAACCAGCAATGCTGTATGGAGAAAACTACATGTCCAAAAGAATAAGTGTGGCAGAAATGCACATGCTGAGATGGATTTTTGGGAAAATTAGAAAGGATAGGGTCAAAAACAAAATTATCCGAAGGAACCCATGAGTAGCTACCGATAGGTGATAAAATGAGAGTAGACTAAGATGGTTTGGTCATGTGTATAGAAAACCATCTACAGCACCTCTTATGAAGAGGTAATCCATTGCAAGTTGAAGAGGCCTGAAGAGATAACCAAAAGAACATTGGTTTGGTAAGAAGTGATTTAAGTGCTAATAATTTAATAATGGATATGGCACTAAACAAAATAGAATGGTGAAACAGCGGGATTCATGCCAACCTTGTATAATTGGGATAAGGCTTAGATGATGAGTTTCATGAACTTGGTAAAAGATCATTACTATGCTCCTTGGTGATGATCTATCAACATTTGAATGGTTTCTCTATTTGATAGTATACTCCAAATATGCTCCTATTGGTTATCATGAAGAAACTAGGTAGAATGTGATTAATCCAAATGATAAACCTGTGGTATTAACTAACTGTGGGATACCATGCAGGAATCTCTGTATAATGTTGCTCGTGCATATCAGCATGTTGGCCTTGTTACACTTGCGTCTTCATATTATGAGAAGGTGCTTACAATGCATGAGAAGGACTTCCCTATTCCTAAGCTTCCTAATGAGGATTCATGTCTTTCAGATAATCAGAAGCCAGGTTACTGTAACCTTCGTAGGGAAGCTGCCTACAATTTGCATCTAATCTACAAAAGAAGTGGTGCTTTAGATCTTGCTAGGCAGGTCCTAAAGGATCATTGCACTCCTTGAAGATGCTTCTTGGACTTGACCATAGGCACGTATCCAGGATTCGACAGACTTCAAAATCCAATTATGAGATGTTCTTTTATTTGTCTTTGTTGGTTATTGTTCTTTGTTTGACCTTTCAATGGGAGGTTAATAGAATTTTCTGCTCTTAAAACCTACAAGAATAACACCATACGTGGAACAGAGCATCACAACGAAGTTTTTTGCAGATGGTTATCAATATGCAAATATGAGCAGTATCAGCTTGCTGCCTAGAACTTAAAGATGGTATCTCTTGTCATCCCTTTAGAGACATGAGAAAGTTGCAACAGATCATAAGATGAGTAACCTCCAAGAACCAAGCAAGAATGGCAAGGCATATAAATGAAAAATGCAAAGGGCATGCCTTGTAGATAGTGAGAAGGAAATTTATCTTCAGGAAAGACATAAAATTACTTGAGAAATGGTAGTTAATGGTTTGGTCTATATGATATGTTGGAAATTGAAATATTTTCCTTCTGGTGCTTTAGCTCGAGCTAAGGTTGTAAATATGTATGTTCCTTCGGTTATCCACCGAATCTCAAATCTCCTTTCTGAGAACATTATTTACTGGCCTTTTTGGTATGTTGAGCATTTATTGCAAAGTTCAAAGTATCGATACATATCGGCCCGTATCAGACAATACGTATCATTCCGGGACCCCTCCGATACGCCTCTACAGTGGGGGAGGTCTGACTGGTTCAGGGGGTAGAGGAGACCTAAACCGGCTCCCTTGAACTGGTTGCAAAAAAAAAAAAAAAAAACAACCAAAATGTGTATCGATTTGCCCACCTGCCAGCGTATCGATATTTTGAACCTTTATTTATTGGCTAATAATTAAGAGGGACCAAAATTATTGACCAGCTGTGCAATGAAAGTTTCATAATATAGGAAATGCTTTGGATTCGAATGCTTTGCATGAAGTGTAGAAAAATTAAGATCTGCATGAATATACTGAGGAAACTTAAAAAATCCTAAAAATATATGAATTACAATAAATCTAAAGTTTTAATGACTACAAATAAGATATAAATACATACCATGTATTTTAATGGCTTATGTGAAAGTGTAGGCTACCGTTTACAAAATCAAATATAAATCTCACCATTAATAATTAATATAAAGTGTTGATATTCACCTTAGCATGTAGATTACATATTGAAATGATGCTTCCTATGCTGGGGTACAGTGAAAAAGATTCAAAGTATCGATATGCTCGATACTCGATTTTTTGAGTATTGAGTATTGAGATTGAGCATTGACCGTGTAATCTGATGGATTGTGTGTTTTTAACCTTTTTTTTTTCTATCTCAAGCAGTATGCAGAATGTTATAGTAAGATTATAATTGCTAATTAAACCTTTTAAGCATTGCATATATCAGTGACCTTGAAAATTGATACAGAATGTATGATAAAAACCAATTCAGTGTGATACTTTGAACCTGGAAAGAAACTTTAAGGGACATGCACACCAACAAACAGCCATGGGCCCATGGCTGCCCTTTGACAAACCCATTTCTTGTGCTTCTCATTCATGATCAGTAACTTGTATCCAAAACAAGCAAACTGTTTAGGGCCTTAGGGGTGCAACTTTTTTGGATTAGGGTAGTGATTTTGTCAAAATTTCAATAGGCTCAACCCGAAGCCCGAGCCTAAAACAGTGTAAACTGTTAATTCAGGCCAACCCAACTTGCACCCCTAGAACTGTTTACATATCATGGAGTAACTGAATCGACTTTTGAGACTGATGAAAGTGTGTCAGGGATTAGCAGTAGAGCCTTCACAATGTTGGCATGTATCACTTCTTGTGGCATCAGAGGCGGCCAGTCATACTGAGTATGCCCAAGTGAGTTTCCAAAGAGAATAGATAGGAGAATGAGAATTGAAAACCTAATTAGTGGTGATGAAGTATGATGCAACAGCCCTGTAAGATGTCTGTGTAGATAACCTCACAATTCCCATCCTTCTCTCTTAAATATAGATCAAGTGCTGCCTCTACTCCCTCTGGCATAACCTTTCTTCGTTGTTGGCTATCTTCTAGACCCACAGCAGACATTTCTTTCACCAGACATCTAGCAAGCACGATTGCATCCTCCAAGAATGGGCCCATTACGTGCATGGCATCTCCAGCCACTGTAACTCTTCCTTTCCTAAAACTACCTACCAAGATGTCCCATGGTGTGCCGTACTTAAGACGGAGAAGACTCGACGAGTCAAGGTCACTATTCTTTATCATTTCTACCATTTCTGATGGAAAAGCCGTGATTGATTGCATTGTGAGTCCTTAATGAGCTCAGGATCTTTTGGAATCCTTGAATCTGTTCATGTCCAAAGAGATGGATAGTGAAAATGTATAGAAATCAGTGCCTCAAGATGACCTACAGTTTTGTACTGCAATTTAGAGCAATTATATTGGTTGCAAATGGCCCAATGCAAACCCCACCCCACCCCCTACCCCTACAAGACAAAACAAAAGAGCAAAAATGGTGAATGGTCTTGTATTGGTGGGTCATCTGTATATTTGGCTTTCCAACTGATGCCTCTAGTATTCCCCATCATCTAGCATAAAAATGTCATTTTATAAGAGGTAATGAAAAATATAAATAATAAATAAATAAAAGCCCAAAGAGTAGGATATTTTAAAGCCAAATGACATTTTCATTCAACTCAACTTTTCACAGTTCAATCATAATGCTAGTATATGTTGGGAATTGGGGTCACATAAAGACACCATCTTTAGAAAGTATTTTCCCCCACTCGGTTTTACTTAGTTTGTTGTTGGGTTATAGGTAAATCTGCTCCCAGGATACAACAGAGCCTTGGGCGAGAATCTGTAACCAACAAAGTTGAAGAGTCTCCAAAGAAATCTTCTATAAGACGGTAGCAAATCGAATTGAGAGAAATAAGTGATTTTCAAAAAACTTGTGTGTTCATTTGATTGATTCACGCTCCTTAAATAATTTCTGAAGAATCATGGAGCAGAAGAAAGTTTTGTGGTTCAAAAAAAGGCTCATCAAAGAGTCATGATTTCAAACATTGTGACTGTTAAAAAGTAGTTAACAGTTAATGACTGTTAACTTTGAATAGTACATCTTGATCACACCCAATACCATTGAAACATCAACGGCCAGCCTCGCACCAAAAGTCAGAGTTGTTTTTCATGAGCAAAGTTTGCTTCATTGTGTCGCAATGACTGCACAATAGCAAGCCTCCATACTCTCTTCTTATATTTTTAAGGAGTAAATAAATTCTTATTTAACCCCAAGTCTCTGCTACGACTAACAAGAGATTTTACCAACCCATTGGTTGGTACCTTGCTTCAATGTATTGTTCTTGCCCCACCTTGATGTCACCTCATATAATTCAAGGTGGGGCCACAATGTTACATAAAAGGTCATGATTTCACAATTTTAGCCCAGGGCTGAAACCACCATCACAGGTGGTTGCTGATGTGCGGTTGTAGTGTTTCTTTTTTATTTTTTATTTTTTATTTTTTTTTGAAATGCTTGTTTGGAGCAAACTTGAACTCTCTTATTCATGTAAAAGGCTACAATTGAACTAGTTTTGGATCCTATATAACGGATAAGCCATTTGGAACTTGGAAGTACGTAATAAATAGCTCCATGTGCATGGTATATTGGTATTCAGTAGTCAAATATTTGATTGAAGTGCTCTAATATATTGCCCTGATAAGCTACTCAAGATTTAAGAATGGAAATTGTAGTTTCCATTGCCGGGCAACAAGCCAATAGACCAGTTAATCATCAACTGGAATTCTTCCATGAATGATAGATACCCTCTCTATGGCTAAGTCCATGACCATTGGGATAATTGGTGAAACCTCTTATTCCACACAAAGAGAAGAGTTTCGTAGCTTTTAGACCTAGAAATTCAGCAACCACAGAGTTTGCTCCATCACATCCGATCACAATCTGTAGTTAATTCATGAATTACACGAATATATATATATATATGATAAGACAATGATGTTAGAAAGCTATTTGTTTTAATTCGTTGGATCTGGTCTAAACACATTATTGCCCTAAAGAAATAATAATTTGAGTTCACATCTGCACCCCACAGTACATCCAAATTGTGTATTGAGAACATTTCCCAATGACAAATACGAGAAATGCTCCCAATGCATGCTGAGATATACATGTGGGGGGCACTCTGTGGGGTGCAGATGTGAACTCCAATAATTTCATACACAATTGGCAAGAATTGTGATGGTTCCGTACCTGACATCCAAAATGTATGGTTTCAAGCAGCAGGTTTTCAGCTAGGGCTTCCACAAGGTCACTCCTTTTCACACATCTAAGTTCTTTCCCATAAGAATAAGAACAGTTTTCATTAGTCAAGTCAGAGAGTTCATCCAATGATCTTGGAAGATTTAGATTGTGTTTGGTACCGTTGTTTATAATATCTACCTGAAACCTTTACGCTGTGTTTGGTTTGAAGGAAAAAGTAGGGAAAGAAAGGGAAATGTATAAAAATCTTTACAAACTTTGTATAGGTTTCCCTATGTTTTCCTTCCTTTCCTTACCTTTTCCTTTAAACCAAACATAGCCTTAGGGTTGATTGTTATAAAATTGACATACAACTGTTTTTTGAGACTCCACTCTATGGGGGTGAAGTCTAGTCATTTTAACTGAAGTGACTATTATATGTGATTGACAATAGATATCTTTCACCAATTTGTATTCATCAATCCAAAAGGTTTCATGTATGCTTAGTTTGGAAGGAATACAAATACAAATATGTAGAATGTAAAACCTTGTATTTTGTATCATTTTGTATGTATTTATACATTACATATTTGTATTTGTACTTCTTCCAAACTGAGCCGTAGAAAAAGCAATAATACTACCAAGGACAACCTTAATATCACTTAGATTATTTTCTATATAAATAATAATATTACTTTAAAAAATATAAAGTTAATTATAAGATTACATATCAGGTTGTCAGGTTTAAAGAATTTTAGTTACATCTGGCTTAGATTAGGAATAGGTTCATTAAAAATTCAGCAAATTCCTAACCCAACTGAACTCAAGTTGCATCCTAGTGAACAAATATTTTGATTGACACATGAAATAAATCTCGATGCAATTAAGCTGGGCTTTTTATTTGCTTTATCGCACTAAATTAATTTTGGTTTGTAATTAAAAAATCCATTTTATCTGGGAAATTGACACACTAATTTGACGTCTAAAAAGCCTTTATCATGGGTTTTTTTATTTGAGTTAGTATTAAAAAGATAGGAGCCAACGTTCTAACTTAAATTAGAAATTAAACCATTTAGCTACATATATTTCGTTATTAATATTTATTTATTAAGAGGCTAGCACTGTATTTGAATTTGAAAAAGATGGCCTCCTGACTGTTTTGGGTGAGAGAAAGGGAGGAAGTTGTCTATCTATCTTTCTTTACATATATACATATATATATACATGCATACATACAAACATATATATATAGAGAGAGAGTTATAAGTCATATCGCCTAATTGTTTATCATAAGTTTGGACTTATTTTAACAAATTAAACTTTGATACAATAAGAATTTCACAACTTTGAAGGA